ATTCGGACAAAACTCCTTCGGTGGCCACACAAGCACTTCACCTGACATTCTGCATGCAAGAAGGCAGTGCTCACGTCTGCCAGGGTAATTCCCCAGTTTCGAGCCATTGCCATGCATAACAGCAGTCTCATTGTCACCAGTGATGGTGTCGAAGCGAACAGGTTGTCTTCTTCATTCTTCTCGACATTCTGGAAACAACCACGCAGAACAACTCTGCACCTCAAGTCAACTTCATTCTTCCACACTTTGACCCATCTGCAGTCTAGGGCCTCATTGACCTGTTCTTCGGCGCAGTCTTTGACGAGCACTGCATCGTACACGTCAAATTCCTTCATTGACTTCACTTCCTTCATCATTCCCTTCTTCTCAGCTTCTGGAGGGAACTCACTTTCCCAGAGCAGTGGCTCTGCCAATCGCAGTTCCTGCTCCAGTTCTCCTTCTTCGGCATTCACTTCGACATCAATCTTGGAACCATCTTTGCCAACAACCTCTTCTTCAAATCCAACAATCGACGCGACCCACTTACAAGCAGGTATAACTCCAGCAATCATCTGGTGAATTGCTGAAATCCTCATTTGCTTGTTTGCGGGCTCAGTCGCGGGTGCATCTGGATCAATTCTTGCCTTCTTTAACGCATTCTCCGCAACATCGGGAGGATCATGAGCAATGTCTGCTGGCTCACGTCCAGAGCCATCATTCTCCAAGATGTCTTGGACAGTCAAGCTTTCGCTTTGTCCAAGGACCAAATCCTCAAGGGGCTCAGTCTCTTCCTCTTCTTCATCAACTCTTGACAATCCAGGAGGCGGTGGCACTCTGCCTTTCACTCCAAGATCCGGTGGCATTACAAACGCAGTAGAATCAACTCCATCACCTTTATAGGTTGCCAAGGCAGTGACATTACCTTGGTCACTCCGACTGCATTCCACTGTTGAGAAGGTGGCTTTCTTCTCACAGCGCGGACCTTGAACACTCCTTCAGCATTCCCAATAATTACTTCATCCGCTTCAGTGTCCTTGCCAAGGTACACTCCAGTGAACTATTGCGATCCACCTTTGGGAAGCTTCATTTTATTGCTTATCGGCATTTTCGCGTCAATCAACTCACCAAACATGCACAGTGATCCACCGTACTCGCGGGACCACCTTCGGCTGTAGGCAGTCTTCCCGTCAGTTCCAATCAGGTAACGGTTAATCAACCATTGCGCATGTTTCACGCACCAAGCAAACAGTGGAGATTCCGACGACACTTTCACTCCAGTCTTCTCTTGCACTTGAGACAACAGTGTCCTCAATTGTCCATACAAAGTCCTCTGCACATTCCCAACACTCCCTTGGCTCTCAGAGTGTCCAGTCGGAGCAGCGCGCATTGACAATCCACCGACAGTCTTGCAAGTGTCCTTTGCAATCACCTTCAGTGAATTCTCCTTGTCATATTGAATGACCCCATACGTACGACCAATCTCAAATACAAATCTGCGCAATTCCGCAACGGCATACTTCTCCACACTCCCTTTCGCAGGAAGCACAACTGCCATTGCATAGCCAGTCTGCACATCTGTTGCATTCAAGATAGTCCTCTTGGGAAGGTCATTCTCAGTAGACAGAAAGGAGAAGTCAATCTGTATGACAGGTTGCCTGTCATTCTTCTTCACTGCATGGTTCTGCCTTCCTTTCGATCGTACACAGTGCTCACACCAGTCACGATAGGGAAGATGAGTTAACTCACGCAGTCTTCGTTCATTCTCCGACGGCTCATTCGGGATCTTCACTCCCTTTGGCTTCACCGCATTCTTGTCCTCAGTCTCCTGCTCGTTCTCACCTGCTTTCGGTCGATCAAGAGGAACGAACAGTGTATATCCAATCCACTTGTGACCAGTCGCCTCACGAGGCTCGTTGCATCTCTTGACAGCGCCATCAGGCAGTTCGATGTCTGCCCAATCATTCTGATGCCCAGTGTCAATCATCGACGGGTCACTCGAGTCGAAGAACATTGTGCAGCGATCACCAAACAAGTGGTCACTCAACAGCCCTTCCGCAGGTGAAGGAGCATCATGTGGATGGAAGTAACAGTCTCTCCATTCATGATGCAGTCTGATCCAATATCGAGGAAGCAGTANNTTGCAACAACAACTCCTTCATTCTGCTCCCATGCTGAGGCAATGATCTCAAGGCATTCTCCAACTCATGCTCCTCAACATTCCGACTCACTCTCACCTGTCGATCAATGATCTCCGGTTCAACATCCATTCGTGGACTACGCACGTCAGTCGGCTTTCCAACTTCGACAGACTCCGCATTCACAACCTTCTTGTCACGTCCAATCGAAGGATCGTAAGGACGCGGTGCAGTCTTCTGTACATGTCTCAGTTGCGGCTTGTGCTTCAGTCCAAACTCAACTCGTCCACGCCATTCTTTCGGACCCTTTGGCCTCGTGCTCCTCATTGTCAGGAAGTTATCATCCCTGACAGTGACAGTCGATCCGTCCTTGTACGTCTTGTACGTCACTCTTTCTCCAGTCAATCGGGACCAATGACCAGTGATCGGCAGCGGCGATTTATTCGCCAGTTTGATCCTCGGATCCAACATTTCATGACGCCACACTCGAACATGCCGAATCAACTTCAACTCCGACTCATTCACTTCCCACATGTCCCAGCGGTATCCCTCGTTCATCTTCATTCCTTGTGCTGCTGCAATCAGAGCACCAATCTGGAACAAGTGGTCAATCGAGCCATCACGCATATCCGACACGCCACGCAGTTCAACGGATCCAAGCTGATTCTCAATCCCGGTCATTACTTCCGGTAGACAACTCGCT